GTGGATGAGGGAGTGGATGAGGGAGTGGGTGAGGGAATGGATGAGTGAGTGGATGAGTGAGGGAGTGGATGAGGGAGTGAGTGGATGAGGGAGTGGATGAGGGAGTGGATGAGTGAGGGTGTGGATGAGGGAGTGGATGAGGGAGGGAGGGGATGAGGGAGTGGATGAGGGAGTGGATAAGTGAGTGGATGAGTGAGTGGATGAGGGAGTGGATGAGGGAGTGGATGAGGGAGTGGATGAGGGAGTGGGTGAAGGAGTGAGTGGATGAGTGAGTGGATGAGTGAGTGGATGAGTGAGTGGATGAGGGAGTAGATGAGGGAGTGGATAAATGAGTGAGTGGATGAGTCAGTGGATAAGTCAGTGAGTGGATGAGTGAGTGGATGAGGGAGTGGATGAGGGAGTGAGTGGGTGAGTTAGTGGATGAGTGAGTGGATGAGGGAATGGATGAGTCAGTGGATAAGTCAGTGAGTGGATGAGGGAGTGGATGAGTGAGTGGATAAGTGAGTGAATGAATGGTCTTTCGGACCCCTCACCTCTGGGAAGAGAAGGCCTCCATCTGATTCTCCCCAAAATCCTAATGTGCGCCCATCACCTCCTCCCCAGGCCCAGGGCAGGTGTTGGCAGTGGTGCAGGGCCCAGGGAAAGGGGAGAGCGGTGGATACATGGGGCCAGTGCCCCTCAAACCCGGCCGGCGATGCAGAGGAGCTCCCCGAGGGCCCGCCTGTCCTTGAGCTGAAGGCCGCCGCTCTGGCAGCACTTGACCCCCAGGGCTCTCCCGACCTTCCCACTCCACTGTGGGTTGGGGTGGGGGGCAGATGCCACAAGCCCAGCCCCCAACCCCTCAGAGGCCAGTGGGGAAGACAGGGCTCGTTCCCTCAGCCGCTACGCACACTCACAGAAACCTCCCTCTGAGCAGGGCTGGACACCAGGACTCCCACCGCACTGAGGGGCGTCAGAGCCTGCCCAGGGCAGTCAGCATCCTGGAGGCCTGAGAGCCCAGCCCAGAGAAACGAGACCTGGGGTGGGGAAGGGCCTGGGCACCTGGAGTGCCCGGCACAGTGCCGGCACAGGAACCTGGGCAGCAGGATCCCCGCACAGGACTCTTCCCCCGCCCACAGGTGGATGCCCACCCACATCTCCAGCCCTTCTGCCAGAGCAGCTTGCATGAGATAAAAGGACTTTCCTGGCATGGTGGAGTAGAAGGGGGGAGATGTGGGGTGCTGTGGATGGGTGGGAGCAGAGACCCGGCCGTGAGCCTCCCAACCCCACCAGAGGCCATGGCATCAACCACAGACCCGCACGAAAGTGGCAAGACGTCCTTTAACCAAGGGCGCGCGTCTCAGCAGATGAGGCATCCGTAGCGGGGAAGAGAGGCCCTGCTGCCGTCAATAAAGCGCTGTGGCTACAGAGGGCCTACGGGGACAAAGAGGGCCTACGTGGGGACAAAGAGGGCCGCGCCCACCCTGCACGCATCCTCACCTCCTGAGAGCCTGTGGAGGCCACCCCTGCGGCCCCGGTCCTTGCCACTCAGGCCTCCTGGAGGTCAAGGGACTGACTGCCCCATGCCCAGGGGCAGAGAGGAGGGCTGGTGGCCCTATGGCCAGGCAAGGCCTGCTGGCTCGGCCCGTGTGCCTCCAGGAGGGGCATGGCCCTGTTTCACAGGGAACTTTTAGTGCCAGAGCCAAAGGGTATAGTCTGGGGCCTCAGAGCTGGAGGTGGCACAGCTGGGGCGGCTGGGACATGTCTGGGAGGGAGGGGGCTTCTCCCAGTGCACAAGGAGGGCTCTGGGGCTCTGCACTGGGGTGACCACAGCTGGTGAGTGATAGGCCTGGCCTGACCACACAGCAATGCTCCCTTCTCCACTCTCCTCTGCTCCAAGGGCCCCAGCAGGGTGGGCCAGGGCCAGGGCTCAGCACAGAAGGGTAAGGATACAGGGTGTGGTCGGGGGTGACAGTGTGGTCTCCTCAGACACAGGGAAAGGACAGGGCCAGCAGGGCTTCCCGAAGCCTCCCACGCATGCCCCCACCCCGTGGCACCAAGCTGACTGCGGCCAGGAGCACCAAACCCGCCCGTGACGCCGGGACCAGCCAGCCCTCCCTTCCCAGACAATAGGTAAAAAGCCCAGGACAAGCCTTTGACAGGGTGCTGGCAGCCAGCACCCCGGCCCCAGCTGGCTCAGGGAGAGTGGGGGTGCACATTGCCAAGCCACACCTCTCCCCAAAGGCCTCAGCAGCTACGCCCTGGGCAAAGCCTGGGCTTTCTCAACACCAGGTGCCGGAACCAGCCCGGCAGCCTGGCATCAGGTTCCCACACCCACCTGCATGTGGGAAATACTCTGGGCGGTGGGGGCTGGGGCTGGGGCAGCCTCCCGTCCAGCCCAGCCTTCATGCTGTGCCCAGGAGCTGCTCCACCACCCCGGGCCTGAGGCCGGTGTGACTTGAGCCTCGCAGGCTGCCCAGGCTTGGCACCAGTGCTGGCAGAGTCCCTGGAACCCAGAGCATGGGCCTCTGTGCCCTATGGGCGGGGTCCACCCACCAGCAGAAACTTCACTCTGGGCCCCAGATAAGGTGTGAGTCAGGCACCCTGGGGGAGCCAGGACCACAGCGCAGCCGCCCACACCTCCAGCTGCTCCTTTCCCCTGGGCTGGAGGGGCCACATACCTTCATCCAGCATGGGCAAGTAAGCAAGCACCCCACCAGCACCAGCTCACAAGCCACCTCCTCCAAGAAGCCTTGTGGGCTGCCCCGGCCCTCAGTGAACAAGTGGGCCCTGGCCTAGGCCCCTGAACCCAGCGCTGTGACGCGTCTGACACGCTGATGTGTACTGGCCTCACACTCCCTAGAAGGTGCCGGAGCCAGCAGCAGGAAGAAGGCACCGGGTGAGAGCCGGGACAGGAGTCAGCCCACAGGCCTGCGTCGGAGCCTCCCTGTGGGAGCCTGCCTCTCTCTGCCTCAGTTTCTCGCCTGTAGAACCAGACATTTTCCTCTGTCCTGTCCTGCTGAGGGGCCCGGGGGCAACACGCAAGTCTGCCACGGAGCCAGATCTGACGCACAGCTTGTCTTGAGAACCAGATGCTGGGTGCTTGTCCACAGGCCAGGGCAGAACCAAGGCAGGCCAAGTTCTAGCCAGGCACGGTGCCCTTTAATTCTGCCGAGTCGCAGCCACCAGCTCCCTGCAGCAGCCCTTCCCTGGCACCGGCCCTGGGCAGGCACCTGGCCCTGCTCTCTCTGGGCTTACTTGTGACATCAGCACCCACGGTGGCCAGAGGTGGCAGGTTCGGGGAGCAGAAGGCCGCAAACCTCCGAGCGTCCACCTTGGTTGTCCGGTTGCCCCGAAACAGCTGATTCTGGAAGAAGAGGCAGACCTGCGGGACGGGAGCCACGGTGCTCAGAGAGACCATCAGCCTGTCCCCAGCCCCCCGCCCTCAGCTTCCTCCCTGCCATCAACGGGGTGCTCAGACCCAGGGGGAGGCGGGACTGTAACCCCATCCATCGCAGGCAGAGACCCTCCTGGGAGCAGGCACTGCCCGCCTGAGGCCCTTCCCTGCCCTGCCACCTAGCCCCGGGCCAACCGGAGCCTGCAGGGGCCTGGGGTGTGCAGTGGCTGGGCGGCAGGTGGGGCACCGTCCTTCCCTCCCTTCCCGCCTGCCCACTGCCCTCACCCCTGCTCCTTAGGGAGCCCAGGACCTCGTCCCAAAAGTGCAGCGGGCACGGCTAATCTGGAGGCCCCGCCCATGGCAAATGGGAGTCCCCCAGACCCATGCTCGGTGTCGGGCTCTGGTCAAGCTGCTCAAGGGCCTTGGGTAAAGCCCCCGCCCCAGGGTGGGGAGATCTCCGTACACGTCTTCCTGGGACACCACACGGAACAGGGAAAGGCATGCAAGAGGGAAAATGGTGCCCTTCAAAGCCATGCTGGCTGCCTAATTTTCTGGAAACTTACATACATATCTCTAACGTAAATATCCCTGATATCAGACCTAGAAGACAGTGCACCCAGCTCTTGGCAGTGGCGTCTGGGGAAGGGCTGGGGGACTTTGTTTCCCGGCTGTTCTCCGGAACCCGCCCCTGCCCCGCCTCCACATGCACCAGGGCGGGTACCTCTGGAATCACATACTGGCCAGCCATGAGCAGTGCGCCCAGCAGGTTCTCACGGCCATCGCTCCACAGGGCGTGGATGGGCACCTGGGGGAGAGGCCGGGGAGGAAGCCCGGGATGCCCAGCTCTTCTCTCCAGGAAGACGCCCAGGCCCAGCCCAGGAGCCCCGGGCAGGGCGTTGGGGAGAGAAGGACAGGCTTGGACTTCGGTGCAGCCTGGGGATGGGAGTACTGGGGACGGGGCGCTCAACGCAGCCGGGCAGTAAGCCCGTCTCCAAGGTCGCCAGCCACAGCTGTCCCTGAGGACGATGGCAGCCTGCACCCAGGGCCTCAACCCACCTACCAGCTCCCTCTACAGGTCCCAGTGCCCAGTGCTGTCAGCAAGGGCCAGCAGGTCCCCATACTGGAGAACGCATCACAGGCCTCCCACCCCAGCGGCCCAGCCCGGCTACCTGTCCCTCGGGACAGATCCCTCACTATCCCAGCAGAACTGTGGGCCGAGTGGAGGGTGATAGGGTGAGGGGTGGGTGGGCTGGGATGGGGAGGAACTGCCGGGGGTGCCAGGCACAGTGCCCCTCCCACAGCTGCCTGTGTCTGGCACGGGCAAGCGTGCCTTGTGGTTGACTAAGGAGCGCATCCCAGGAGGGCACAGGTGGGCAGGACTGCCTGAGGGGGGGAGGGAGCGTGTCTCTTCATGGGTCCTCAGGGGGAGGTGGCCGCGCAGTGGGCAGTGCAGGGCCTCTGGAGGGAGAGAGCCCTGGCCGGGGGTGGCAGTCCTGGGCCCTGGGTCCTCCCTGGCTCAGCTCTCATGTAGTTCATGGCTGTGGGTGAGCCCCTGGCCTATGAGCCTCAGTTTCCCCAACACAGGCCAACATCAGGGTTAGGAAAACAAGTGTGTGAATGTTCCTGGGGCCAATGTGCCCTTGGTCCCCATGGAAAGGCCCAGGGGATGTTCCGCTCTCCCGGGGCTAGGGAAGGTCTGGGAAGAGGAGAAGCAACCTGAGCCCTGTCCCTCCTTCGTGGGCTCCGGGGCAGGAGGCACTGCTCCAACGCTAACAGGTGCGAGCAGCTGGCCCCAGGAGACCCTGGAGGGAAGAGGGAGACGTCGCTGGGCAAGCAGAAAGGGGGTGACTGAGCCACCTCCCCCGATGCACCTGGCCGACCTCCTAGGAGGGCCTCCATGGAGCTTTCTGGAGCTGCCACCAAGCTCAAAGGGACATGGGTACTGGTTCCCCACAGATCTTGGCCTCAGCTGTGGGAAAGGATCCCAGAGGGCCCAGGTGCCCCTTGCCACCCACAGGCAGCAGGGACCCCAGTCAGCTCCCAGTAGACCTCCCTGCCCCCTCCCCACAAATCCAGTTTACAGAACACTATGCCACTGGCCATGGCTTGTGGGATTTGTGCAGGGTGAGGGTGAGAGAGGCGGGAAAATCGTGTGCCAGGGGCCCCAGGATGGCATTGCCTGGAACCACAGTGGGCGGAGAAAAGAGCGGGACCAAGGCAGGGTGACCAAAGAGGGCAGAGAGAGGGGCCACGGCTCCTCTGTGTTTGGCCATCCTGCTGCATGGACGTTGAGGTGGGCAGCAGCTTCGAGGAGAGGAAGGGATGCCTGGTGCCCCCAGGGTGGAGGTAGGCCTGGCTCTGGGTGCTCTGGGACCTCACAGCTCCCAGAGAACTCCACCCCTGGGGCAGGTGGCGCCGGCATCTGGGTGAGACCTGAGCAGCCGAGAGCCCCAGCACCGGCGCTGCAACAGCGACCTCAGGAGCTGCTGGGCTGAGCAGGAAGCTCAGGGTCCCGCAGCGCCAACCTGCCCTGTGGCCTCAGGAAGCCCCGATTCCTAGGAGCCCTGGGCCCCTGGGGTTACCTGGGCCCCGGTGAGGATGACAGTCTTCTGCAGGTTCTCCAGCATGAAAGACAGCACGGAGGCGGCGAAGGCCATGGTGTCCGTGCCGTGGATGACCACGAAGCCGTGGTACTGCTCATAGTGCCTCTGCAGAAGGGGTGAGCTCAGGCAGGCTGGCCCCTCAGGGAGTGGGTGTGGGCGAGGGTGCAGCAGCGGGAGAGGGCCCAGAGGCGGAGGGGGGACGGGGGGAGGTGCGCATGGCACGCCGGCCCAGAAGGCCCTCTCTGGAAGGTGAGCCCCTGGCGCGGGGTCCTCGGACCCCCACACTCTCCCTGCCCCGAGGCTTCTGTGCCACTCAGGTGCGCCCACCACGTTGGGGCTCCCCTCAAAGCATGAAAGAATGGGTCCCTTCGAGGGGCCTCTGCGCATTCCTCAAGGGTGGGAGCGCCTGTCGATGGCAGCACGGGGCTGTGGAGGTACATGAGCCGCGCAGCCCAGAGCACAGGTCAGGCAAGGACACGACGGTAGGAACAGGGACCCCTGCAGGGTCAAGTCACCGCCATGGCCAGGAGGCAGCAGGTTATCCAGCAGGTTGCCTGAATCTGGACGTGGGCAGGTGGGCAGGACACTGAAGGGCAGCAGTGAGGCTGGCCAGGAAGGGACGTCCTGTGGCACCACCCCCCGGAGGGTGGCTAGCCCAGGCAGTGGCTGCCAGGGCACCGTTCCAAGAGCCCAGAGCCCCATACCAAGCCTGGGCCTCCAGTGGGCCATTAAAAGACCAAGCTTGGTAGGCCTGGGAACTGCAGAGGCGCTGCGGTGGAGAAGGGGAAGGGCACCCTCTGCTGGCCACTCATGGAAAGACGGCAGGCTGCGCCGCCTGCACTGAGGCCTTTGTGAGGCTGGGCAGGGCCCGTCCCTGCAGCAAGGATGGCAGGGCACCCTCGGTGGGCCTCAAATGCAGTCAGGCCTGGCCTGTGGGGGCTGCCAGCCACAAATGGAGCAGCCTGTCCTGGGTGGTGCTGCCCCCTACCCCACTGCTGGGCAGGGGGAGCCCAGATGTTCCCACTCAGGGGAGCAGCGGGTTTGTAAGGGAAGCAGGTGAATTGGGACTGGAGGGACAGGAGGCTCCCACCCAGTGGAGGCAGCTCAGGTAACACGGCAGCGTCCTACGATGGCAGAGAATGGAGGAGGGAAGCTGATGGGGGGCGGTTCTGCCTGCGGGGGAGGAAGCAGTTCTGCCTGCAGGGTGAGCACACGCGTCGCTATAAACCACAAGACTGCTGTGGTCCTAAACCCACCAAGGCCCCAGCTGGGGAGGGGACAGACGGAGGGCAGTGAGCAGGTCACCAGCCAGGTGCCAGGAGCTTGTCTGCCCTAGAGGTAGCATCGCACACCACACCCCAGGTACTAACAGGGACAGGCTAAGGCAGCTGTTCCCACTGTGTCGCCTGGAAGTTGCTCTATACGCCCATCCACAGCTTGCATGGGGGAGAGGGCCTCAGAGCCTTGCCCCCAGCTCTGACACGTGGACCCTGCCCTTTCCTGAAGCTGCCATTTCCAGATGCTCCCAGATCCCAGGCTGGGCACGCCGACTCCACCCCAGACCCTCCAGCTCCTCACTTGTCCCAGAGTGTTTCTGCAGGCCACTGCCCATCCACCAGCCCCGCCCATACCCGCAGCCCCACCCACACGCCACAGCCCCACCCACAACACCACCCCACCCGCACAACACAGCCACACCCACTCCACAGCCCCGCCCACATCCCACAGCCTCACCCACTCTCCACAGACCCGCCCACACCGCAGAGCCCCACCCAGCACTCCCCAGCCCCACTACCTCGATGGTCTGGGCAACGCGAACCCACTCAGCGATGGTCATGTCACTGGAGTCGAAGAGGGGCTGGCACTCCAGCACGGTGTAGAGGATCCTCTGGTTGGGGCTGGCCGGGCTGTGGGACGGGAGCAGTAGGAGGATCAGCAGGCTCCAGCTCTGCACCTCCTCCTGCTCTAAATCCCCCGACCGCTCTGTCCCCTCTGGCTAGCTGGGGCCTCTACACCAAGGGCTCTGCACACAGCAAGTTCTCAGCATCGCAGCTACAGGGCCCAGCCCACCCTCCCAGCTGGAGCCCCACCACCTGGAGCCCTTCCCCACCTGGAGCCCCCCTCACACCTAGAGCCCCCACACCTGGCACCCCCCACCCCCTGGAGCCCCCCTCCCACCTGGCGCCCCCCTCCCACCTGGCGCCCCCCTCCCACCTGGAGCGCCCCACAGGGGCGAGGACTTGGGCCAGGATAGGGTGCTCCCAGCAGTCCTCTTCCGACACTCGGAGAGGCAGCTGGGACCAGCCCCCGCCCAGGCAGGAGAGGATGCTTGGAGGAAGCTGGCCTGCGTTGGCACGAGGGCGACTGCCAGTTCACCCCAGCTTGTGTGTGGATCAGTTCAGGGAGCTAGGCCCAGAGCTGAGAAATGGAGGGACCTCCCTGCTGAGGGCAAGGCTGCCTGGGACAGCCGGCTCCTGAGATACAGGGTCCCTAGACAGGGACACCCCTATCACACTTGCCGAGCCAGCCTGGCTGGGGGTGTTGGGACCAGGCACAGGGGCACCCACAGGCCCTGCCCTCCTCCCAGAGCTCTTCGAGGCTCAGGCGCTGGTGGAAGGCGGCTGCTGGTCAGTCCTAAAAGCCCCCTAAGATGCGGGGCTGTCGGAGATGGGGGTGAGCAAATGGCTCACGTGGGCCTGGCCAGCGCCCCCCAGCAGCCATCCCCTGCCCGGGCCTGGGAGGAACCCACACTCACGGCAGCACCAGGGTGTCCTCAGGGAGGCCAAGGGCTCGGGCGTGCTCCTCATCATGGAACATGGGCAGCGTCCTCAGGGTGGCAGCCAGGCCCGTCCCAGGCACGAGCACTGCAGGCAGAGTCCAGGTGCAGAGTGGGGTCAGGGGCTGGCAGCCATGGCCTCCTCACTGAGGGGCGGGACTGGAGCTTATGGAATGGGGCTCCAGCCTCATGAAAGTCAGAGACTGGGAGGAAGGGCCACGCCTGCCCTGGGACCCAGAGTGGGGGCCGCTAACCCCTGTTTAGAAGCCTTGGAGCCCAGGGTCATTCCTCATTTTGCACCCGGACAGCCCCAGGAGCTCTGCCCAGGTCTCCAGTGGCTCCACCCAGGCCCTGCCCCTGCCCCCACCCCTTCTCCAAATGCTCAGTCTGCACTCCCCATAAAGACCCCTGGGGCTCGGCCTTGACCTCACTGTGGATGTGCTGCGGGATCATCCCCACTTCTCACACAGAAGGTGCCTCAAGGCCCAGATTAGGGCACCGCCACCAGGAAGCCCTCCCAGATGCCCAGGCTGTAGTACTGCTCCCACGTGCTCCCTCACTGGCCCTCAAGCTCCCAGAGGGCACGGGCTGTGTGTGACTCCCCTGGGTCCAGCCCAGGCCCCTCCCCCAGATCCCAGACCTGGAGGGGCTAGCGTACAGCAAGTGCACAGACAGGTTGGCCCCACCCCGGCAGCTGTGCCACCTTCCCGCAGCCTCTGCGTCTCAGTTCTGTCCCCTAAATGGACACCCGGCCACACCACTCACTCCCTTGGGCCAGCCGCTCAGTACAAAGCCCTGAGCCCTCAGCCACCCCACCAGGGCCTCCAGCCAGCCCCCAAGCCCCCCCCCTGGCCCCCCCTTCCCCCCCCCACCAGCAACGCCCCACCCTGTCCGGCAGCCCCAGCCAGGGGCACCTGCTTTCCCCCCCCGCCCTCTGCAACCATAGCCATCTCCTGCCACTGGTTCACAAATTAACCCCAAAATTGGGTGTTAAAGCGGCCCCCTCTAATATCGCTCCAGCTGTGCCCCTCCCCGCTGTTCCCCTCCACCGCTGGGCTCAGCCGGGTCCCCACATCTCCAACTGCTAAGTTGCTGGCCCCAGAACACCAGCCCATTGGCCCTGTGGAGGTTTGCGGCACCCATGGTCTCCCCTGGCCTTGCACGATAGCCCCATGGGCCCCCCGGGACATTTCCAGAGGAGTGGATGATGCAGGTCAGCTGAGGTGCAGCTGTTGACAAAATCGTCCCCGCCAGCAGGCTCAGCCAGTGGACGGGGGAGCCCACGTGTGTCTGTCTGCCTGTCCACCCTCTGAGGCGCCAAGTGCACAGCCGGGACACGGGCTGCCGAAACATAGGCCTGGGCTCGCCGCCTGGTGAACCCCAAGGGCCCAACCTCAGAGCCCAGGCATCCGGGGGCTCAGCACCCACCCCACATGCGTCCAGGTGTCCCCGTCTCCTGTGTGGTGGGCTGGAAAAAGACCCCAGAAGACGTCCACATCCCAGAGCCGGGCACAGTGCCTCGCGCCTGGAATCCCAGCACTTTGGGAGGCCGAGGTGGGCAGATTGCTTGAGGTCAGGAATTCAAGACCAGCCTGGCCAACATGTTGAAACTGTCTTTACGAAAAACACAAAAAGTAGCTGGGTGTGGCGGCGGGCGCCTCTATCCCAAGTACTCGGGAGGCTGAGGCGGGAGAATCGCTTGAACCTGGCAGGCGGAGGCTGCAGTGAGCCAAGAACACACCACCGCACTCCAGCCTGGGTGACAGAGTGAGACTCTGTCTCAAAAAAATTAAATAAATACATAAAAATAAAAAAGATGTCCACGTCCCAATCCTCTGCACCTGTGGTGTCAACTCATATGGAAGTGTCTTTGTGGATGTGACGATGTTGGGGGCCGTGAGGCGGCAGTTGGCCCTGGACTGTCCGGGTGGGACCTAAATGCCTCTCACGTTTCCTTACAGGAGGGAGGCCACAAGGCACTGGCAGGCGGGCCACACAGAGGAGAAGGCCGTGTGACAGTGGGGCAGAGCGGCCCTTAGAGATGCTGGTCTGGATGACTACAGGGATGCAGCCACAAGCCAAGGAGTGCGGCAGCCACCACTCAGCAGAGGTGGCAGGGTGGTTCCTCCCACAGAGCCTCGAGAGGGATTGGAGCCCTGTGGCACCTTGGCTCAGCCTGGGAAAACCCCTCTCAGTCCCCGGCCTCCAGAACCAAGAATGAACTCCGGCGGTGCTCAACCGCCGGCACAGTGGCCGCAGGAAACGAAATGTCACTCTCCATCCTCTGGCAGGTGAAGGTGCGGTGTCTGTGGAAGTCTATGGACCTGCTTGTGGGAAGGTGGAGAGGGCACATGTGGTCTGGTCTTGGCCACGCTCACGTTGTGCAAGGTGGCTCGTGGGGCAGTGGCTTCCGGGAACTTCCAGGAACACTGCAGAGTGGTGACGTGGCCAGGCCGGAGGAGGACGTGGGCCCTGCTTTCCCTGCCAGGGGAGGGAAATTGGCCAAAGAAAGACTAAACTCCCTCAGCGTCCTCTTCTCTCTGAGCAAAACTCTACACATGAGCTTTTGCAGGGGTTGTTTTGGCTCGTGCCTGTAATCCCAGAATTCTGGGAGGCTGACGCAGGACGATCATTTGATCCCAGGAGCTCTGGGCAATTTCTTTTTTTCCCTTTTTTTGTTTTTGAGATAGTCTCACTCTGTTGCCTCCAACCCCAGGGCTCAAGCAATTCTCGGTTCTGCCTCAGCCTCCCAAGTAGCTGGGATTATAGGCATGAGCCACCACACCTGGCTAATTTTGTATTTTTAGTAGGGACAAGGTTTCACCCTGTTGGCCAGGCTGGTCTCAAACTCCTGACCTAAAGTGATCTGCCCACCTTGGCTTCCCAAATTGTTGGAATTACAGGTATGAGCCACCGTGCCCGGCCAAATTCAAACCTATACTGTCGCCAGTAAATTTTTCTTGCCAAGCCACGTTCCGAGGCTGGGGCTCCGATCCCTCCCCCAGCAGTCAGTTGTGAGCGTCAACGGGCATTCCAGCAGGTGTGTAGGGCACCAATTTGTTTTGTTTGTTTGAGACAGGTTCTCGCTCTGTCACCTAGGCTTGAGTGCAGTGGCACTATCTCGGCTCACTGCAACCTCCGCCTCCCAGGTTCAAAGCAATTCTCCTGCCTCAGCCTCCCCAGTAGCTGGGACCACAGGTGCCCGCCACCACATCTGGCTATTTTTTTTTTTTTTTTTTTTTTTGTATTTTTAGTAGAGACAGTGTTTCACCATGTTGTCCATGGCTGGTCTAGAACTCCTGACCTCAGGTGACCCGCCCACCTCGGCCTCCCAAAGTGCTGGGATTACAGGAGTGAGCCATCGTGCCTGGTCAGCCAGGGCAATTTCTTTTATTGTTTTAAACAAACACCGGCTCTCACATCTAACTCTGATTTTGTAACTTGTATTACTTTCTCAATGAGGACCCTCCAAAAGCTTCAAGAGCCCAGAACCTGAACCGTCTGGCCCCTGCCTGGGACCTCTTCCCCAGCCCAGCCAGGCAGGTGCTTTAGTTCACTGGTGACCTGGAAACTCCTAGGCCCTCAGCCAAGCACCTGGAAGGGAGGCTTTGCTGACTAGGACAGTGGGTGCCGTGAAGCCAAGCTTAGGCATAGAGCCTGTGAACATGTAGCACCCATTCGGGAAGGAGGGCCAGGCCAAGAGCACAGAGGCCACTGCAGTGACCGAGAAGCCACGGGCGTCAGTCCATCGGCTGCTGGTACCCTTGTGGCCAGTGGGCAGGGAGCTACTCTTAGCTGCCTGGCCCCAAAGCTCTGCCCTCCCTGCTGTGCCTGCCAGGAGCCAGGCTCAGGAGGGACTCGGGCAGGCTGGCAAGCAGGTGGGGCTTCCAGCTTGCACAGGAAGCCTTCAAAAGTCTCAGCTGTGCAGAACGTGGCCACTAATGCCAGCCTCGGCTTGGGGTTATCAGCTCTTTTTGGATTCACTATGCCCTTTGACCTGTGAAACCACTGATGAACTCAGAGAAGGGGTGGGTCTAGGGCTGTGCCCGCTGGCATCGCCTCTGCCCTCCCTGAACTCTGGCAGGACCCCAGGTGTGCAGCATTCCACCCACAGGCCACTGCTGACCAGCAGGCGCAGAAGCCATTCCAACAGCAACCAAGCAGCTTTACTGTGGCAAACCCAGCACTCCCCTCGCACCTCCCCGGGAAGGCCAGAGCCCATGTCAGCAGTGCGGAGGGAATAAATCACTGACGTCTGGCGGGGCTGGACCTCAGCATTCACGGGGGCGTGGAGGGGCCTGGCTCCCTCCCTGGCCTGTGAGTGCTGCCCTCCCTCCTGGAAGCCTCATCACTTCCCACACCATGAGGCTCTGCACATCCCAGAAGGACGCCTGGCTGCCGTCACACAGCAAAGCTGGCCGGAGGGCCCCTGGTCTCCCACAGCCCCGGCCCCTGGCTTCCCCCGCTGCTCCATGGCTGTGGGTGGCCCCCTCATCAGGGAGACAGTGGAGACCAGATCTCCTGTCTCTTCCCCCTTCATCCTCTGGGCTGAACCCATGTGCTCCCTAGAAGCCTTTCTGAAGTGGAGAGGGTGAGCAGTGAGGATGCCAGCCATGGGGGCACAGGAGGGCCTGGGGCTGACAGCAGCTTCCTCCCGGAAGCCCGCAGTGTGGAGCCAGGAGATGCTGCCTCCTCCTGTGATAAGACACCCTCGCCTCCACAGGGGTTCTTGACGCGAGCCCTCGCTGGCTGGGACAGGCTGGCTACTCGGAGCTCACGAGAGCTCCGGAGGGGCCCGTTCCTGCAGGTTCCTGGAAGCGGACGCCCCACATGGGTCAGCTAGCAACTGCTGGGAGTGACCTCGGAACCACACGAGGACCGGCACTGAACACAGGCCAGGGCCTGCTGGCCTCCTCCTCTGTCCGGAGCCTGGCGACCCAGTGCACGGAGCACCGAGGGCTCTCAGGAGGCTGCGTCAGGCCTGAAGACTGGCACCCACACCCAGTTTCCAACATCGAAGCCTCTCGTTCCCCACCCAGACACGGGACCTCACAGGCAGAAACACATTGCACACATGTGAGCATGCCCACAGGCTGCTCCGGCACAACGGGTGTGGGGGGTTGCAGTCAGAGTCCGCCTGTCCCTGCAGCTCCAGCCACTCAGGACCTTTGTGTTGAGCTCAACGAAACTGCAGTTGGCCACACACCAAGCCTGGTGGGGTAGTGTCAGGGTGTCAGACGAGGCCCGGAGTCCAAGGATCTGGTCCCCTCCTGGGGGCAGCTCTGGCCGGCTCCAGCCCGCTGGGCTCCCCTGCTCTCTCCTGGCCCTCTCCCACCTTTGTCCTGCAGGCCTTGTGTCCTCAGAGAAGCCCTCCCTGGGCCACCCCAAAACTCCACGCCACCCACACGCTGGGCCCTGGCAAATCCCGCCCCCGGGACTAGCTCCTTAATGCATGCCAACCCTTTGATGGCAGCCTCTGTCACTGACTTATGAGGGCCAAGCACAGGAACCGTGTCACTCTGTCAGTGGAGTGTCACACAGGAGCATTTGCCAAGCTGTGAAGGACTTTGTCCCAGTCACAGGCAGAGGGAGAGGGCAGAAGAGGCTCCCGGTAGCCGGACAGCCACGTTCCTGGTGCCTGTGCCCCTCGTAGGCGAGCCCCGCTGGGCTTTGTCTCCTGGGCTGGGCACAGAGTGGGCCTCCCCAGGGGTCTGCACCGGCCATAGTGCGGCGGGTGGAATCTGAGAGCACTGAGAGGGTACTGGCGGCTTCTGAGCGGCCACTTCAGCATGAAGGAGTGGCCGGGAGGGGCAGCTGCCAGGGAACAGGTCGTGAGAATGGATAGGGAAAGGAGGGGCGGGGAAGTGGTTGGCAGGCTGGGAAGGGACAAGAGAATGTTCTGGTCCTGCCAGGGGAGGCCCTGGGGCTCTGGCAGAGCCAGAGAGGGTCCCAGCTGCCTCAGCAGTGAGAACTGTGGTGGGCACAAGCAGGGGTGTGGGGAGAGGGGCCAGCCGGGGCAGCAGGGAGTGGGAGGAGGAGTTGAAAGGGGTCCTGAGGGAAAGGCAGCCAGTGGACGGTGGAGGGTTGCAAAGAGGTTGGACATGGGCGGAGGGGGCTGTCCTGGCCCCGAGGAGGGAGCGCACCACATCACAGCAGCCCCGGTGTGGGGGCCCCAGGCTCCTCCTGGGAGCGCCTGGGCATTCTGGGGGCTCCAGTGCAACCGTCCTCTCCCCATCCTGGTGGCCTCAGGTTCCTCAAGCTACCATCCTTCCTGTGCCCAGCCCAGGCTGGCAGCAGTGTGTGGAGTCCCCTGGAGCTCTGCTCGGCGCCTGTCCCAGGCACTGACCCCACCCAGGCAGAACTCAGCCCAGGTGCAATCGCTGGTCTCTGATCAACCAGGTCCAAGCCGGGGCAGAGGACGCAGGCTCTGAGGCCACCTTGGGTGTGAACGTGTGGGTCCCCGCAGGTGCCAGGCACTATTGCAGGACCAGGACCCCAGGGGATGGGGACAGCCTGCCGGGTGTCGCTGGGGAGGGGTCCTCGCAGCCTCCTAAGCCTTCCGGGCTTGTGTGTCCGGGGCAGGGGAAGCAGGCGATGCCCTGGGGCCTTCCCGCCCCATATTGCAGGGCTCCAGGGCGCTGGCCCTGAGGGGCGCAGCGGCAGCACAGGGGGCCTGGCCCCAGGGTCGCAAGGCGCTGCCGAGAGCACCGCCACGCGAGGACGGGCCGCGACCTCCTCTCTCCAGGTGGCGGCTCCAAACGCCGGGACGGCTGCGGCCCTGGAAAGGCCGGACGGAAGGAGAGGTACCCCAGCCCGCACCCCCAGCCCCGCCACATCCATCCAGGTGCGGATCTGACCCCCCCCCCACGGCCCCCCTGGGTGCAGGACGGCCCAAGGCTCCCGCCCCAGCCTGGGGCACCGGGTCGGACTCACCGCTCAGCTCGCTCCGCATGCCGATGGTGCCGCCGGTGTAGACGGCCAGCAGCCTCCGCTCGGGCCCCACCGCGCGCGCCATGCCGCCCGGGGACCGCGGGTGTGGACGGGGGTGCGGCGGGTTCGCGGGGCCTGCGGGACTCAGGGACGGCGGGGAGGCGGCCGGGGCGCGGAGGGCACCCTGGGAGGGCGGGGCCGGCGGGGCAGGACCTGGGCGGGGCGGGTCCCGGGAACTGACCGGGGTCGGGGAGAGGCGGGCCCGGCGGGATCGGGGCCAACGGGACGCCTGCCCATCCCGGGCTTTCTCTCAGCACCGGGAGTGTCAGGTCTGCCCTCCGCAACGGCGGTTTTGTAGCTTTAATAACTTTAGCAGTTTTCATAAACCACCCCAGTAAATAATTAAAATAAATGTAATGAAATCAATACTCCTAAACAAACATCGTAGTTTTGAATCTAAAGTTAAACAACAGATATCTCATTATTTGGATATTTTCCCAAAAATCAAAAAGGTATTTTAATTTTTTTTTTTTTTTTTTTTTTTTTTTTGAGACAGAGTCCTGCTCTGTTGCCAGGTGGGAGTGCAGTGGCCCAGTCTCGGCTCACTGCAACCTCCTGCCTCAACCTCCGGAGTAGCTGGGATTACAGGCACCTGCCACCAGGCCCAGCTAATTTTTGTATTTTTAATAGAGATGGGTTTCACCATGTTGGCCAGGATGGCCTCTGTTGGAAACAGATGCTCCGTGTTGCAAAGAAAAGTCAGCACTGAGACAAAGGATCTCTCAGCAAGGCAATTTTACTTTCTGCAGAAAGGGTGCTCCTGTTAGCCATCCTCCTAGGAGAGCACAAGGAACAAAGGAAAGCAGACACGTATACCTTTCATGTATTCGGGGTGGTCCTTACTGCATTGTCTGATCTCCTAGACCTCACAATCTAAACTAAAACCCGATTGGCTAATAACTTAAAACTTTTCTAAACAGGTAAAAGCCATGGAGAACAAAAAGGAAGTCTAGATAAAGAAGGAGCACAGGCTGTGAGCTGGGACACGCCCATGAGCACGTCCAGCAGGGGTATCTTGGATAAAGTACAAGGACAAAGAACATCTCACGTGCCTGTAAGCACATCTAACAACTATGTAGGAAAGAGCTTAATTAAGGAGAACTACTAAAAGCAAGACAGCTTTAACAAAGTGTTTAAAACAAACTAGTATTTCTAACACTTACAACTAGTCTTTAACGAGAAAGGAAACTTTGAAGAGGAACGTTTCTACTTCCCACAGTCTCGATCTCTTGACTTCGTGATCCACCTGCCTCAGCCTCCCCAAGGGCTAGGATTGCAGGTGTGGGCCACCGTGACTGGCCAAAAAAAATTTTTTTATAGAAGAAAGAATCTTGTATGATAAATTCTTGTCCTAAAGCAAATTAACTTGTTTAAAAAGAGGGATGTTTAGGACAAATCAGAAACTTGAGGCATGTCAGAGATTGTATAAGTCATGAAAGAATTTATGAAAGGGAATTTATGCAAGAAATGCTGTACAATTGAAGGTGATGAGGCCTCCTAAATGCTTCATAAAAAGCCAGTATAACTCTTAGCTGCTAGGGAAGGCCCAGGACACATGGAGTTAAATGCTGGAATAGGCCAGACGTTACCTGCCCTTCTGCCTAAGTCCCAGGCTCCAGGCTTTATGCCTAGTACGTCATTAAAGTCCTGAACTTACCAAGGTTTTCACCAAAAGCAAAAGTTGCTAAGAGTTAAAAGTATAACCTGTATTTAGAACTACTGAAAAACATGCAAGGTGTATAAGGAAAGTAAAACATATTTTTGGTAAAAAGATGAGGAGGAGGCATGAGAATGTGGATTTTTGCCTAGATTAAAAGGTTAAAGGATTGTTTTAAGTTGGATAAGATAAAAACGAAGGTTTAAGCAAGCTGTGAAAGGTTAATTGTAAAGGAAATTCTGTGTGTAAACATACTCGCTAAAGTTAAAGGAGTATTATCCAGTTTATGCTGGATATGGTCAACACGACCATAAACCACGAGTAACATCTCCAACCTAAAACATGCCAACCCCGAGATGACCTCCACCTTCCTAAACCCTTAAAGATCCTTAGTCTGTAAGAGAGATCGCTCTTGACCGAAATTGGCCGGAGGTCCCTCTCAGGTTCATTCTCCAGAATAAACCTGTCTTTGACTGTTGAGCCACTTTTCACGTTCCTTTCCTCCTTTTTTTTGAGACGGAGTCTCATTCTGTCACCAGGCTGGAGTGCAGTGGTGCCATCTTGGCTCCCTGGAACCTCCACCTCCTGGGTTCAGGCGATTCTTCTGCCTCAGCGTCTCGGGTACTTGGGACCACAGGTGTGCACCACCACACCCAGCTAATTTTTATATTTTTAATAGAGACGGGGTTTCACCATGTTGACAAGGCTGGTCTCAGTCTCTTGACCTCATGATCCACCTGCCTCGGCCTCCCAAAGTGCTGGGATTACAGGCGTGAGCCACCATGCCCGGCCATCTTTCCTCTTTCTTTAACTCTTACAGAGTCCCGCCTGTTTCACTCCCCTGAGAGCCCAGGAGGGCAGGGCAGTGGTGGGTACAGGGTCTCAGGAGGGTCCCAAGCTGCAGGCTTGATCCCAGGTGGAGAGAAGATCCGCCGCCTCCTCACTTCCTGGGACCTTGACTGCCCAGGGCACTGATGCACTTCAGTGGGGGCCAGCATTTGACACTGATTCCATAGAAATATTATTATTTGAGATGGAGTCTTGCTCTGTTGTCTAGGCTGGAGTGCAATAGCACGATCTTGGCTCACTGCAACCTCCACCTCCCAATTCTCATCCCCCCAATTAGCTGGGATTACAGGTGCATGCCACCACACGCAGCTAATTTTTTTTGTATTTTAGTAGAGACAGGGTTTCACCATGTTGGCCAGGATGGTCTTGAACTCCTGACCTCAAGTGATCCACCTGCCTCTGCCTTCCTAAGGGCTGGGTGTGAGTTGCCGTGCCTGGTCACATAGAATTTATTGATAGTAGCGGTAATCTTGTCTGCAGAGAAGCAAATGCGTTCTGCGCAGCGAGGGTCTGTTAGTTTTCTGGGACTACAGTAAGAATGCACGATTTACACTGTGAGGTCTAAGGTCAGGGTGTCATGGGTTGGAGTCCTCTCGGCCTGTCTCCTGGGCATGCAGATGGCACCTCCCTGCTGTGCCTCACAGGGCCCTTCCTCTGTGCAGTCACGCATCCCTGACGTATCTCCAGATGTCCAGACTTTTTCTTCTTATAGACATACCAGTCATACTGAATTTGGGGCCTCGTTTTAATTCAACCATCTCTTTAAAGTCTACCTCCAAACACAGTTGTGTTCTAAGACACTGGGGTTCGCAGCCTTCAACATTTGAATCTGAAGGAGACAATCCAGCCCATCACAGCCCCTGAAAATCCAGTTTCACACGCGTTTGCACATTTCTGTCAATATTCCTGATCTGTGTGTGTGTTTCAGGAGTTCTCCCCTGAGCGGGTCTCACAGCTGCCTGGGCCGGGGAGGCTCTTCCATGTGTGCTCACCTGCATCCCTGTCTCACCCTTCTTGGGGAATCACCCTTTAACAACCTGCCGGCCACCATAAATCCCAGGAAACCATGTTTGGGGCCAGGGCAGCCTTCACTGGCGGTAATCCCCACTGGAGTGGCTTTTCTCCCAGGTGTCAGGAGTCCCGTCAGGTTTCTGCTGTCAAAACCTCGCAAGCACCAGGCTGGACGCTGCAGCTTCGCCTGCGGACGCCTCTGGCCTTTGGGCGGCTGCGCTGTGCTGCTTCGTTCTCGCTTGCATCCACCTATGCCTGCAGTGTCCTCAGACGGAAATTTTCATGCGACACGTGTTGAAGGCTGGCTCTGTGCCAGGTGCCTCTCTAGGCATGGGGTACGCCACCCCGTCCTCCTGAGTGTACCTGCCAGGATGGGGGCTATAACAGACAAAAATGCCAGCGTCTGGCAGTGGCAGTGCCCGGAGGAACACTCAGGGAAACGAATGACAGGCAGCGCTGTTTACAACAGGGTGGCCAGGGAATTCCTCTCCAAAGGGTTGACATTGGAGCAAGGCCAGCATGCCAGGCAGGGACAGGATGCCAGGTGGGGACAGGTGCTGAGGCCCAAGGCGGGAGTGAGCATGGCCCCAAAGGGCCAAGGTCAGGGGGGCAACAGCACTCGGAGAGAGGGGACGCCCACTAAGTGACTGTGGTACCAGGCAAGGACTCTCTATTTAACCCTTCAGGCCAAGGGTTAGGCTGGTTCGTTTTAACCTCTGGCTGCTGTGTGCAGAGGGACTGAGACATGAATGGGGTCGGGAGGGGTTTGGGGTGAGGATGTGGGAAGTGGGAGGGCCGAGAGCACAGGTTGGAGCTTGTGGGGACCAGGTGAAGAGATGAGGCAAGGTGGCTCTCCTGTCTTTAGCCAAAGCAGCCATGGGATGGGGACATCCTTACTGAGAAAGTGGGGGCTGGAGTGCGGCTTGGGGCTGGGCGGAGGGAAGCAAGGTGTGTTGAACGCATTCTGCTTGGAGGCCACCTGGGCAGGTCGAAGGAGACTGAGTGTGTGTCCTGCAGTCAGCGGCACAGGGACAGCCCTAAAGTCATGGCAACAGCGAGGGGTCAGCAGAGACAAAGGACCCAGTCCAAGCCTGGATATTCCAGCCTCGGAGGCCAAGAGGAGGAGAGAACCCAGGACCGTGAGGAAAGAAGCCCAGGAAGTGATCTGCACGTGAAGACCCAGGGCTTGGCAACGGGGTGCCAGAAGCTGGCCATGCGTGAAGCAACGTGGAGGCTGCTGCGGCCTCACCCTGGGTGAGTGGAGGGGACAAACGTCTGTCCCCCTGGAGGGACACTCGGCCATCATCGTGGTGCCTGCTGCTGAAGGAAACGCTCCCCCCAGGGGCTGGGTAACAGGCGCCACTGTGCCAGCTGTGCCCCAGCTCCTGCCCTCTGGCTCCCAGTCCAGTGTCCCCAAACTCCCCTCTTCCCCTGAACAGGCAGTGCCAGGAGTGAGTCCAGGGAACCTGGGCAGCCCCAGCCAAGTCTCCAGGTCCTGCCCGCCCCTCCTTTATCAGTTCTATTTCTGATTGTTCAGCAA